CTGGCCGAAATATTCAGAACCTAGTCTTGAGTTGCATCGCAGAAAATTAGAGAATCATCTGCAAATAGGAGGTGAGAAACTTCCCCAAGACCGCGCTCTTCGTCCATACAAAAGCCTTTAAACCTTCCTTCACTCTGCAGGCGACCGATCATGAAAGACAAGATGTCCATGACGAGAGCAAATAACCCTGGAGACAATGGTCTCCCTGCCATAGCCTTTTTGAGCGGAGAAGAAATCTTTGGCCTCCCCATTTATGAGGATGGATACATAGGAGAAAACATGACACCCTTCATCCAAACTAGCCATTTAGGTAGAAAACCCAACTTTGAAAGAACTTTGAATAAGCAACCCCAATTAACGTTGTCAAATGCTTTCTCAATGTCAAGTTTAAACATCAAGCCTGGTTTTTTACTCCTTTTTCGGCTTTCAACAAGCTCATTAGCAAGCAACCCCGCCTCTGAAATCAGCCTTCCACGAGCAGAGGCGTATTGAACTTATGAAGACGATGAAAGGGACGAGACGTATTGTCAAGATCCGAAAGCCTACAATCCAAGTAAAGACGATGAAAGGGACGAGAATTGAACTTATCAAGATAAAGATTTTGATAGTGATTCGCCACCGCCTGAGCAAGCTCTTCCCTACCTTCAACCAAATTGCCATCAATCTTGATGGTATTGATGTAGTTTCACTTACTTCTGTAGTTCACAGCTTTATGAAAGAACCCAGTGTTCTGTTCTCGTACCTTTAACCAGAGCTCCCTCGATTTCAGTCTCCAACTTATCTCCTGCATAATAAGCAACCTCTCCATATCAACCTTCAAAGAGTTCCTGCGCTCCTGATCCCTAAGTAAAATATCTCCATCTTCTTCCATAATGACCAGATCCTTGATTTCATGTAAAAAATCACCAATCCAGGTATTAATGTTACCGAAAATCTCTTTATTCCAGACCTTCAGCTTGGATTTAAGATCCTATAATCTTTTGGACCAACAAAAGACCTTCCCAAAACCATGAATAGGAGTCTCAAACCAACTAGAAATATCTCTGTAGAACCTCTCATCCTCAAGCCACATAGAGTCAAAGCGCCAAGGTCTCTTATTTCTCCCAACATCTCCCCATTTCAACAGCAACGGGGTATGATCGGATTCTACTCTCTCAAAAGCAAAAAGTGAACAATCCGAAAACAACATGTCAAAACCAGCATTCAGGAGGGCCCGATCGATCCTAGAGAGAGCCAGAACCAAAAGAACCACTCCTAGTAAAATAGCTATCACCTAACAGGAGATCAATCAAAGCATTGTTATCAACGAACAAGTTGAATTCGGACATAAGATCAGTGTTGCGCCTCGCACCAACGTAATCGTCATGACTTCTAACTAAGTTAAAATCCCCAGCGATACACAAAGTATCATTCACATCTTGGAGGAAGAAACCTCCTGAAATTCCATGCTCACAAAGTGATTGCCCATCTTTTCATATCTTAACCGAAACAAAGAATCGTCCCAGAAAATGAGAATGCCCCCGGAACTACCATTCTCCTCTTTAGACACCCAATCAAAATTCCTTCTACCGCAAAGACTTCCAATAATGCCTTCAGAACACTGCTCCAATTTTGTTTCAATAAGGCCTACGATATTCGGATTCCTGCGTCTGATAATCCCATGAACATGGCTTCTCTTATTCGGGTCCCCAAGCCCCCGAACGTTCCAGATTAGCACAGAAGACCCCATCAATTTTCTACACTGATATCCCCCACTCTCTTCTTACACTTTCTCGGACCATCCACAGGGGGTTCCAACGGTCCAGGTCTACGAATTTCCATATCCAGCTTCGTTCTCGAGTTTTTGACCTTTTTCTCATACATACCTTGAGCTTCGAGATGATAATTCTATTGTACTCTACACTGTTCTATAATATTTATGTAAATTATATTTATTATGTAAGGTTCATGGAGATATTTTTTTTAATGTATCGGATAAACAAACGTATTACGTAAGTCTTCTGTAATAATTAAGATACTACGTAAAGCTTATGAATGTATTTTATTCAAACTATTTTTTTGAATTATTTGATTTCAACTAAAACATTAAATGAGTAGATGGAATTGCAAATAAAATTAGTTTCTTACCCAAAACTATGCCAGTCAAGTTAGTTACTCGTGATAGTTCAGTACACACAAAACAAACACATTTGACCATTCTCTATGATCCGCCATATTGATTATTCTTTAATTGACAAGTTTGCTGTCTGATTTCGCTTAATCAGAGATTACATTCTAATTAATCAAAACCAAAGCAAGCGGCCGCGGAGGTGATTGTCTTATTGACAGGGATTCGATGATATCATCACGTGGGCTCATTTCAATTGAGCAGCTTGGTAATAGTCATTGGTTTGGTCAGGCTTTGTTCAATGCTCCATTCAATTCAAAGTTCGCTATAGTCTGTATTATATATTCCCCCATTTTAATGAGTAATTAAGATGCCAAGTTTAGCAAGAAACCTTCCGTTTATCATTATTTTATATTCAATTATCATTGGTTAGATTTTCCAATAAACACGATAGAATTCCTGAACTGAATTTCTAACCCATTTAAACTAGGTAGCAAATGAGTGAGAGTCTAGTTTTGATCTTGACTGAACTGAGTTTGTTAATAAAACAGTCGAGTTGGAGTTTGGTTATTGTTTACTAAAATTTTGATTTGTGTTTGATTCGGGTTCGGCCCAAGTTCGGCTCATTAATGAGCTCACGAGCTCTATTCGATCTCTATTCATCAATTAGCTCTCGTGATCAGCACGAGCTAAAGTATTGTATCATTTAGTTCAAAATTTTGAATTGTTCATATCATATTATCTTATAGTTTTTAGTGTCTGAGCAATCTATGATACCTAACTTCTCTTTTAAATTATAAATGGGACATATTTGATCACATGTTCAAATTTTTAAGCATCATATGTGGTGAGATATTTCATCTAAAAAATCAATTAGTAATCAACAAGCCAATGATAAGCTACTATGAGTTGAGCTCATACCGTCGATCCATCTCATAGCTCGAAATGAGCTACCTCATGAGTTGAGTTCAACAAGCCACCGAGTTTAGTTGGCTCGCAGGCCGAACAAAGCTGAGTATCGAACGCGCTTTTGCCAAGCTGAACGTTGAGCCGCTTGTGAATAGTTTGATTCATTTGCAGCCCCGATCCAAGGAGACAAGGACAGTAGTTTAAGCACAATAGATGGGGAAATGCAGCTAGCATCATATTCAAATGACGCTCAAAGATGTCTAAACGCTAGTGTAATCTTGCATCGACAATTATGTAAATGTCAACTAATTGCATCGAAATATCATTTTAAATTTTATCCCTTAGATTTACTGCGACGTTTTGCACAGTAGATAAAAAGTAAGAATATATTTTATACTAATATTGCAGTAAATTAAACTTATACGTTACAAGTTGTCTTTCTAGGATCATAAAGGTGAGGAGGATAAGGGTTCAATATCGCTTTGTTAACTAAACTTGGACAGGTGCACTATAAAGTGGACATGATCGATTGCATCGCTTAAAACCAAAATTGTGTAGAATATATTTCCCAGATCGAGCACTATTTTGTTGAGCAGAAAAGTCGTGTTTCCCCTCTTTCTCCCGCAGGATTATGGTATTTCAAGTTGAATAGTACTTTTACATGGGACCTCCAATAAGATTATCTAAATCTACAAAAATATATAATAGGCTTTCCGAAAAAGGCTTTAGGGATTCAAATTCTCTCCCTCCTCACGCATCCACATCATCACATGTTTCCCTCCAATCATTTAAAAGCACGTCACCCTATTCTTCCTTAAATAGGCTTCATCCTTACTCTTCCGCGTTAAAACCCAGGCCCCTACTCCCTTTCCCCCCTTTACTCAACCCAACAGTTTATTTCTCGATTTCTCGCCAAATCTCCAGTGTTTGATACCCATGTCCGCCTTTTGTCTCCTACTCACCTCTCTTTCCTCTCCAGATTTCCACTCTTCTTCTCCAAATGTAGGTTCACAATTTCCTTTCCATTTCTCGGACCGCAGAAGATTTCACATCTTCTCCCCTTTTCCTCCGTCAATTGGTTTCTGTGAATGTGCCTAAAATCCATTTTTCCGTCACGGAGCCGCCTTGACCTTCTTCATATTGTACACCCTATCGCCCCCTATATAGAAACCCTTCATTCCTCCACGCCACCATTCAGAAGATCCCAGAATCCTCCATAGGCGGCCATCTTCTGCATACCATCAACGCCGCAATCGTCCCCCTTTCGCTTCTTTGTATTTTCGCAGGTAATTTTAATATTTTGGGTGTCTTTTTCCCTTAGCATTTCTCTTTCATAAGTGATCTTTTTCGGCTCTGAATTTTGGGTTTTGGGTTCTGATTTGATGAGAGGTAGGAAGAAGTGCGTTTGATGAGAGTTAGGTAGAATGTAGTTCCAATTACTGCTGCAGTATTCAGAATTTACGTAATTTGTGTGATTTTCTTAACCCTGTGCAGGATGTTTCCAGGCATTGTATTTTGGCTTAAGGGCTCTGTTTTGCCGAGGGGGAATTCCCCATTTATGGCGGCTGTTCGGCTCCAACGCAGCATCATTTATGGCGATCGGCGCCATTTTTGGTGGTAATCGGCATATGGAGCGGCAAATCTGGCGACGGGAATGGCGATTACTCCATTTATGGAGTCTGAAAAGAGGTTGTGGCGGAACAACCGCCAGCCCCGGGACGTGCGGTTGTTCCGCCACAACTTTTTTTTTTTTGTAATGTAATTAATGTTGATTAGGTTTTAAATGATGGTTTAATTATGTAATTGATTAAGGATTTAGTTATGTTTAATTATGGCTTTAATGAATATTTTTATTTGTTTGGTTTAATAGAAGGTGTTATGATTAATTAAGGGAATGAGAATTAATGTTTGTATTATTTAAGCTTCTTTAAAAAAAAATTCATTTGTGTTTAATATCTCGTTTAATTTCTTTTATTTGATATGATGATTTAAATTGAATTCATTTTATTTAAAATTTATGTTTATCATCTTGAGGTTGTGTGTAAACAAAAACTAGAGTGAACTAAGAAAGGAAAATATATTATTGAAATAAAAATTTGTTCTTGAAATACAAAGCAAATTATCACCTACTACAACTTTAATTGAATTACAAAGGATCGATTTCAAGCAACAACAATGACTAATTATTTCCATGCAAGTTCCAAATATGCTCAACCAAGTCTTGACGAAGCCCATGATGTGTTGGTGCAGCACGAAGCCTATTATTTCTAGCCAAGTACTCAGTTAGGGTTGGAATATCTCTATTGACATTAGTTGGTTGTTGGTCATGGACCTCATAATCAAGACTATCTTCCATTTCATCGTCAGAATCAACCTGCTCATCTTCGATTATCATGTTGTGCAATATAATGCATGTCAAAATTATATCATTTATTGTGGCAACATCCCAAGATCTCGCAGGGCCACGAACGATTGCCCATCTAGCTTGAAGAATTCCAAAGGCCCGGTCTACGTCTTTACGATGTGCTTCTTGACATCGAGCAAACAAGGCTTCTTTGTTTGAGCTTGGATTGCTAAATGTTTTCACTAAAGTTGACCACGAAGGATAAATACCATCAGCCAAATAATAACATTGATCATAGGTATGACCGTTTACCTCAAATCGTGCTCGTGGAGCGGATCCATTGAGGATACGGTCGAACACTGGAGACATCCCCAAAACATTGATGTCGTTGTTCGACCCAGGTACGCCGAAAAAAGCATGCCATATCCAGGTGTTGTATGAAGCCACTGCCTCGAGAATGATTGTTGGTTTATGGTTGTGCCCCAAGTACTGCCCAGTCCAAGAAGTAGGACAGTTCCTCCACTCCCAGTGCATGCAATCAATTGACCCAATCATACCAGGGAATCCGCGTTGTGAGCCTTTACGAAGTAGGATCCTTAAATCAGCCCGAGTTGGTGCACGAAGGTATGTTGACGAGTACATCCCGACAATGGCTCTGCAAAACTTCCTGAAGACTTCCAGTACAGTGCTCCGACCCATACGCATGTAGTCATCAAGTTGATCAGCTGGAGAGCCATAAGCTAGCATGCGTAGTGCACTAGTAAGCTTTTGCTCTGGCGATAGGCCTGAGTGACCAACAGCATCACTCCTTCGTTCAAAGGAGGGATCGTACCTCACAACGTCACCCATTATGCGACTAAATAGTCGTGGTTGCATACGAAAACGCCTTCTGAATATGCGAGCATCGTATGTTGGATTTGGATTGAAGTAATCCTGCATAAGACGGTCATGACCTGAAACCCTTTCACGATCAATATAAGTGCGACTGTTGAAAGACGACGTGAGGATGAAGCTTCATCAAGCCTCCTTCCGATTAAAGCTAAACGGTCATAGTGAAACATATTCAACTCTTCCATCTCTTCTTCTCCTCCAGACGATGAGAAGTCTGAGGAACTCATGATGAATGTGTTTGTTTTAGAAATTGGGAGAAGTTGATGAATGTGTTTGCTTCAGAAATGGGAGGAAGTTTAGGCCAAGTATTGAATTAATGACAAATGAGAGATAGCACATTTTATAGACAAACATATTCACAGGTGGCTTACCTAAATATTCCTACCTAACGGTCATATCTAACATGTGCTACCTAACAGTCTCACCTAACGGTAATATCTAACATGTGCTACCTACCACTCGTATCTAACATGTGCTACCTACCACTATCTAACATCTGCTACCTAACAGTCTCACCTAACGGTAATATCTAACATGTGCTACCTACCACTCGTATATAACATGTGCTATCTAACATCTGCTACCTAACAGTCTCACCTAACGGTCATATCTAACGGTCTTTCAATTTTCTATATATTCAGACATCCTCTCTTCTTTCTCTACAATTCATTATTACTTTTGAAATTTGCTTCCAGTCTCACCATCCTTTCTATCATCTTTATCTCTCTAAAGACCAAACAATGACAAGCAAGAGAGGAGAGGGTTGGAAAGTGGAGGAAGATGTGAACTTGTGCAATTCTTGGGTTATGATATCAGAAGATGGAGCTGTGGGCGCTAATCAAAGACTCTCAAAGCTTTGGGATAGAGTGGCGACGCAATTTCAAGTGAATGATCCCACTACAACTCGTACTATCAAAAGCATGAGTAATCGAATGAGCCTCATCACCAAATTCTGCAAATGTTGGAATTCAGCTATCCAAAGGGCAGAGAGGAATCAACCAAGTGGCACGAATCAACAAGATGTGGTATGAATTCTCTGTCACCATCACTGTTATTTTCTAACTCATTTATTAGTATGAATTCTACTTTCTAACTCCTTTTTCATCTCATTCATTAATACGTATAGGAGTATATGGCAGACCAGCTTTATAAAAGTGAGACAGGAGAAAAGGGTTGGAATTTTAGTCATTGTTGGCGGATTTTGAAAAAATGTCAAAAATTTCATGCCCTGTTAACAATGTCGTCTTCACATCAAAGCCGCATAAGTCAAGGTTCTGATGGTTCTCCCATGTGTCGTGGTTATCAATCAACCCCACCGACAAACCTCAATGACACAGAAGGAGACGAAGAAACTCCACCCTTCGTAGGAGAAACTCCACCCTTCGTCGAAGAAACTCCACCCTTCGTCATATCTCGTCCTGCTGGACTCGACAAACAAAAGGCGGCTAAGAAGAAAGGAAAGGGGGTTGCTGAGCCATCAGAGAGCTACACTGCTCAATTGTTGGACTATGGAAGCGGCACTATTTCGGAACAACGTTGATCTTCTTGAAAGGGATTTGTCGAAGTTGACACCAAGAAAGAGGCAGTATTACAAAACTCAGCAAAACATTGTTCTAGGGTATGATCAAGATGATCCCAACTCTGTTCCCAACTACTCATCTAACGCAAATCAGACCGGGGGAGGAGATGAGAGTGGAGGAGATGAGAGTGGAGGAGGAGGTTATGGGAATTACTATTCTCTGCTAGGCGATTATTGACATGTTATGTGTTTCATCTTTATCATTTCAAGTGTTGTGTGTTATCTTTAACCTTTATCATTATCAAGTGTTGTGTGTAACCAATCAGTTGTATCATTTGAACTATTATGTGAACTCTTTCAACTTTATCATTTTCAAGTGTTGTGTGTAAACTCTAATTAGGTCAATCATTTTTTGCAAAAAAAAAATTTGGTCTCGGAATTCGGGTTAATTGTATGGTTGGTCACTAAGATTACAAAAAATGTTCATATTTGGTCACTGGAAATATTTAAATCCAATTTTGGTCACTCAAATTTGTTAAATGGTTCAAGTTTGGTCACTCTCCGTCCAACTCCGTTAAATTTGTATGATGTGGCAGTCAACCCTCAAAGTTTACCGTTAACTCAGTGACGTGGCAATTAAAAAATAATAAATAAAATAAATTTAAATCCCCTGTCATTTTTAACTCATTTTCACAAGAAAGTAAAATAAATAAAACAAAAAAATTATTATAGTTACAAATTGAAAAAGATGGCTTCCTCTTCCCCACCATTCATGGCCTCCATCCAGTACTGAAAATCCAATCCCGTAGCTTCTCTTGTCCAATCGGTCAATCAATCAATCCCTCTCGATCTCAGTCGAGATCCGCCATCTTCATTCTCATCCCTCTGTTACCGCTGGCTTTTATCCCCACTCCTTGTGCGGTCTCAACTCTCAATTCAGCCCCCTAGGGTTTTGCTTTCGTATTCATGTCTTTTCTTCATTCTTGGATTTTACTAGGGAAGCTTCTAGTTCTCTGCTAGCTTGGTAGATCTGAATTGATTCTTTGTTCCCTCGTTTACTTTATTCGTTACTGTTATCGGGTTCGAAGTTGCTTTGCGCCATAGCGTTTTGAGATCTCTGCTCGTCTTTCGTATTTGCGTCGGAGTAAACCGAAATCCGGCATGCTTAGGCTTCTTCGCTGGAATTAGGGAGTTTCTCGGTGCTGAAAGTGGCAGGCTGATTGTATTGGACTTGTTGCATATATATATATGGCGGCAGGGAGAAATGGAGGATAGGGGTAGTGGTGGTAGGATAAGGCAGAGGGATGCTAAGGATAGGGAGGCCATGAATGGTGAGGATAAGCGCTCTCAGTCTACTGCGCGTCTTGGGGTCGGCTGCGCGTCTCTGCCTACTGCGCGTTGACGGAGTTGGAGGAAGGGGCGGGGTCGAGGGTGGAGGAGGTGCAGGTGATTATGGCCGGGGAGCGGCGGGGACGGCGACAGCGGGCGGAGCTAGGATGGGAATTGGATGCTGGTTTGGTTGCGGGGAAGGCTTTTCAATTTGTAATTATAATATTATTTATTTTATTTATTTTACTTTATTGTGAAAATGAGTTGAAAATAGTAGAAAGTTAAAATTTATTTTATTTATTATTTTTTAATTGCCACGTCATTGAGTTAACGGTCAACTTTGAGGGTAGACTGCCACATCAGACAAATTTAACGGAGATGGACGGAGAGTGACCAAACTTGAACCATTTAACTAATTTGAGTGACCAATAATGAGTTTAAATATTTCCAGTGACCAAACATAAACGTTTTTTGTAATCTCAATGACCAACCATGCAATTAACCCAAAAAAATTCTATCGAAAAAATTGTATTTGAAAATGATGACGAACTACACAAATATTAATATGAACAAATTATATTAATGCTTCCATAAATACATTTTTAAGTAAATGAAAAACTGAAAAAAGGAAGATCCCCATATTTGGAGAATGTAGCATTGGAACAAAAGAGAAGAAAATAGGGATGATCCCCAAATTTGGGGATGAAGGTCCCCAAATTTGGGGACTAGCATTGGACTCAGCCTTATGGTATTTCAAGTTGAATAGTACTTTTACATGGGACCTCCAATAAGATTATCTAAATCTACAAAAATATATAATAGGCTTTCCGAAAAAGGCTTTAGGGATTCAAATTCTCTCCCTCCTCACGCATCCACATCATCACATGTTTCCCTCCAATCATTTAAAAGCACGTCACCCTATTCTTCCTTAAATAGGCTTCATCCTTACTCTTCCGCGTTAAAACCCAGGCCCCTACTCCCTTTCCCCCCTTTACTCAACCCAACAGTTTATTTCTCGATTTCTCGCCAAATCTCCAGTGTTTGATACCCATGTCCGCCTTTTGTCTCCTACTCACCTCTCTTTCCTCTCCAGATTTCCACTCTTCTTCTCCAAATGTAGGTTCACAATTTCCTTTCCATTTCTCGGACCGCAGAAGATTTCACATCTTCTCCCCTTTTCCTCCGTCAATTGGTTTCTGTGAATGTGCCTAAAATCCATTTTTCCGTCACGGAGCCGCCTTGACCTTCTTCATATTGTACACCCTATCGCCCCCTATATAGAAACCCTTCATTCCTCCACGCCACCATTCAGAAGATCCCAGAATCCTCCATAGGCGGCCATCTTCTGCATACCATCAACGCCGCAATCGTCCCCCTTTCGCTTCTTTGTATTTTCGCAGGTAATTTTAATATTTTGGGTGTCTTTTTCCCTTAGCATTTCTCTTTCATAAGTGATCTTTTTCGGCTCTGAATTTTGGGTTTTGGGTTCTGATTTGATGAGAGGTAGGAAGAAGTGCGTTTGATGAGAGTTAGGTAGAATGTAGTTCCAATTACTGCTGCAGTATTCAGAATTTACGTAATTTGTGTGATTTTCTTAACTTTGTGCAGGATGATTCCAGGCATTGTATTTTGGCTTAAGGGCTCTGTTTTGCCGAGGGGGAATTCCCCATTTATGGCGGCTGTTCGGCTCCAACGCAGCATCATTTATGGCGATCGGCGCCATTTTTGGTGGCAATCGGCATATGGAGCGGCAAATCTGGCGACGGGAATGGCGATTACTCCACTTATGGAGTCTGAAAAGAGGTTGTGGCGGAACAACCGCCAGCCCCGGGACGTGCGGCGCACGCGGGCGGGGGAGCGACTCCCCCGCGCGCGTGCGCCACACGTCCCGGGGCTGGCGGTTGTTCCGCCACAACTTTTTTTTTTTGTAATGTAATTAATGTTGATTAGGTTTTAAATGATGGTTTAATTATGTAATTGATTAAGGATTTAGTTATGTTCAATTATGGCTTTAATGAATATTTTTATTTGTTTGGTTTTATAGAAGGTGTTATGATTAATTAAGGGAATGAGAATTAATGTTTGTATTATTTAAGCTTCTTTAAAAAAAATTTCATTTGTGTTTAATATCTCGTTTAATTTATTTTATTTGATATGATGATTTAAATTGAATTCATTTTATTTAAAATTTATGTTTATCATCTTGAGGTTGTGTGACTCGCTAAAACACAACACCTAACAATGGCCAAGTGTAACCAATGAAAGGGACTGCAGTATAGTGGTACAAGTAATAAATATCGAATCCACGGGTCTCTAGAGTTACTATTACTCAGCTTCAGTTCATTATCTAGCAAACTAGATTAAGGATTGATTAACTAAACTACTCTACTAACTAAACTAAGTAAAACTACTAATTACAGTTTGGGAACTCACTTAGGTATGATTCCCCCTAGCTCCTCAATTAGGTCCAAGTTGTAATTCATTTTGGTTGATTTACTGTTGATTAAACTGCGGAAGATCCGACAGTAGCTTGGAATCTCTTAAGCTGACCAAGCCCTCTCAGTCTAACTATCCGGCAGACGACTAGTCTTCACCGGGATAAAAAGCTGAAGCAATAAGCACAGAACTCCACTACTGGAATTGGATTCCAGTACAAAGCAGTAAACTGGCTAACTCTCGTATAGCCAATCTCCTACTACCGAATGATGAGACTCTAGCAACCTAATCAGATTCTATCTATCTCAGATTGCAGCAGGAATCAGGAAAAGTTGATCAGACTTCAATTGACTCAATAAACATGCATCATTCGATTATAATCAAACAATATGGCATCCAAAACTTCATACAAGAAAGATCCTAACTCATGGAACTAAGGTTCCTCAAAACCTAAGTGAAGGGAAGTTACTCCATAGAGAAGAGAGAGACTGCAGAAATCTGATCTAGATCTTCAATCTCCATCTCCAAGCTTGATTCCCGAGCTCCAATGGCGAAGAAATCCTCCAAAATAGCTCCAAGAATGTTCCCAAGTCGCTCTCTCTCTCTAGGGTTCGTCCCTTGGGTGTTTGGGATCCAAAACCCAGCTCTCCTCTTCTTTGGTTCGGAATTTGGCTTAAAACCAGGAAATCCCGACTCGCACGGCCAGGGTGCACGGCCGTGCATATCACCATTCTGGCCGTGCAACTCAAAACGCAGCGTGTCATTTAGTCGAACTTCAGCCCTCTCGCACGGCCAGGGTGCACGGCCGTGCGAGCTTCAGGGGTTGCCCGTGCGTGTCCTCGGCATAAGGCGCACGGCCATATTGCTCACGTGCACGGCCGTGCAGCCTCCCTGGTCTGCCCGTGCAGCTCCCCAAAAACCTCGCCATTCGTCCGTTCTTCGTCCAATCGACCCCAGACTCGCTCCTAAGCCTTCATTCACGTACTAGGACCTGAAACATCACAAACAAGCACAACCTAGCGTGAAATCGGCCTAAAACACGAGAATCAACACCTCAAACGGTGTAAGAATGGGGGTAAAAACATGTGTAAATGACGGTCTATCAAACTCCCCCACACTTAACCGTTTGCTTGTCCCCAAGCAAACCAAGTCAGACACTAGGCAAGCTTACACATTTCAATCAACCAACATTGGGGACAAGTCAAAAAGGCACAGAACACGTGAATCGCACTGGTTTTCAAACATCAATACATGCACAACCTCAATAACAACCTGGACAACCACCACAAAGGACATTCGAGTGCAGCAAATCGAGTAAAGGAAGAGTCTCCCTTCTGTTCACTGGCCAACCTAGACTTGATTCAACCACTTACTCAAAACAGTCAACTCATGCATCCAACTCAAGACATCAGAATAGAGACCGAGCAATCAAGGTCCTCACCGGGGTACAAGAGCATATAGAAAATGAAAATGAATCACTCACTCTCGACCAGTGGGGTCAGGACAATTTGATGCGAAAGATGCGCATGCTATTTCTCTCAATCCCTATCATCTCTTCACCATGATGGCAGCCTCTAAATGCTAGAGTTCACATATGGGGTGTCACCACTAACTAATCAGGAGGTCTTAGACACAGGTTCAAATGACTGGCTAGGGTCTTGGACATGGGGAAAAGGCATTTTAGGTGGGGGAAGTATTCATAGCACAAGGTTCCACATTTCCAAACCCAAACAATCACAGTCAAACAAACAGGTATTTCCTTTCTGCTATTCTGCATTACTCAATATCTCAAGAGCACAAGAGCGAAGGAGGTATAAATGTCAGTATTTCCCAGCCAGACTGCTAAGAAACACTACTTACTGGGCATTATTCAGATTTTTGGTAGTGGCTCTCTTTGCTTTCAATTTTTCTTTGTTTTTCTTTCATTTTCTTTTCATTTCTTAAGAGAGCCACCACTTCTGCATATATTTCAAACATCTGCCCAACTTTTAAGCACTACCTCCAACACTCACATTCAATTTAGCAGAAACAGCAGAGAATATGCAAAAACCACTCTGTGGAACCTTCTAAAAGATGTAAACAGGGGTGATTTTTTCCATTATAGACCAAAAAGAAAGGATAACACACGGCTCAAAGGGGCTGACTAGGGGATATGACACATCAGGACAGTCAAATTTGGTCGTGGGCTAATCCTATGCCCCCATCATCCTAGCTAGTGACAACGTGAATGCTACACATCATGGAAGAGGGATCTATCGCACAAGAAAGAAACGAGCAGGCTCAAATCTCACATGGCTACCTATATGCTCTATCTCACATTCTGATACCCTGAACTAGATGCATAAGAGACTGTCAAGAACAAGTAATCAATTCAAGTCACAGTTGGTAAGCAAACAGTTGGAAAACTGAACCCCTACACAACTCTACTGCACATCTTAGTCCTCATCATAGGTTGTCCTAGTCACAATCAAGCTGTCATGCATCAATCCGAAAACCATTCAATTCATCACTCAAAACACAGTGCCAATATGATCAAACAGCAGTACTTGGAGCACTCAAATCTCGAGATTTGGACAGTGGACTAGGCTCCAAGCACACAAACAGCCAAACATTCACCTGCATACATAATCGAACACCCGGCGCCAAAAACTTGATGCTCTAAAACACAACACCTAACAATGGCCAAGTGTAACCAATGAAAGGGACTGCAGTATAGTGGTACAAGTAATAAATATCGAATCCACGGGTCTCTAGAGTTACTATTACTCAGCTTCAGTTCATTATCTAGCAAACTAGATTAAGGATTGATTAACTAAACTAATCTACTAACTAAACTAAGTAAAACTACTAATTACAGTTTGGGAACTCACTTAGGTATGATTCCCCCTAGCTCCTCAATTAGGTCCAAGTTGTAATTCATTTTGGTTGATTTACTGTTGATTAAACTGCGGAAGATCCGACAGTAGCTTGGAATCTCTTAAGCTGACCAAGCCCTCTCAGTCTAACTATCCGGCAGACGACTAGTCTTCACCGGGATAAAAAGCTGAAGCAATAAGCACAGAACTCCACTACTGGAATTGGATTCCAGTACAAAGCAGTAAACTGGCTAACTCACGTATAGCCAATCTCCTACTACCGAATGATGAGACTCTAGCAACCTAATCAGATTCTATCTATCTCAGATTGCAGCAGGAATCAGGAAAAGTTGATCAGACTTCAATTGACTCAATAAACATGCATCATTCGATTATAATCAAACAACATAGCATCCAAAACTTCATACAAGAAAGATCCTAACTCATGGAACTAAGGTTCCTCAAAACCTACGTGAAGGGAAGTTACTCCATAGAGAAGAGAGAGACTGCAGAAATCTGATCTAGATCTTCAATCTCCATCTCCAAGCTTGATTCCCGAGCTCCAATGGCGAAGAAATCCTCCAAAATAGCTCCAAGAATGTTCCCAAGTCGCTCTCTCTCTCTAGGGTTCGTCCCTTGGGTGTTTGGGATCCAAAACCCAGCTCTCCTCTTCTTTGGTTCGGAATTTGGCTTAAAACCAGGAAATCCCGACTCGCACGGCCAGGGTGCACGGCCGTGCATATCACCATTCTGGCCGTGCAACTCAAAACGCAGCGTGTCATTTAGTCGAACTTCAGCCCTCTCGCACGGTCAGGGTGCACGGTCGTGCGAGCTTCAGGGTTGCCCGTGCGTGTCCTCGGCATAAGGCGCACGGCCATATTGCTCACGTGCACGGCCGTGCAGCCTCCCTGGTCTGCCCGTGCAGCTCCCCAAAAACCTCGCCATTCGTCCGTTCTTCGTCCAATCGACCCCAGACTCGCTCCTAAGCCTTCATTCACGTACTAGGACCTGAAACATCACAAACAAGCACAACCTAGCGTGAAATCGGCCTAAAACACGAGAATCAACACCTCAAACGGTGTAAGAATGGGGGTAAAAACATGTGTAAATGACGGTCTATCAAACTCCCCCACACTTAACCGTTTGCTTGTCCCCAAGCAAACCAAGTCAGACACTAGGCAAGCTTACACATTTCAATCAACCAACATTGGGGACAAGTCATAAAGGCACAGAACACGTGAATCGCACTGGTTTTCAAACATCAATACATGCACAACCTCAATAACAACCTGGACAACCACCACAAAGGACATTCGAGTGCAGCAAATCGAGTAAAGGAAGAGTCTCCCTTCTGTTCACTGGCCAACCTAGACTTGATTCAACCACTTACTCAAAACAGTCAACTCATGCATCCAACTCAAGACATCAGAATAGAGACCGAGCAATCTAGGTCCTCACCAGGGTACAAGAGCATATAGAAAATGAAAATGAATCACTCACTCTCGACCAGTGGGGTCAGGACAATTTGATGCGAAAGATGCGCATGCTATTTCTCTCAATCCCTATCATCTCTTCACCATGATGGCAGCCTCTAAATGCTAGAGTTCACATATGGGGTGTCACCACTAACTAATCAGGAGGTCTTAGACACAGGTTCAAATGACTGGCTAGGGTCTTGGACATGGGGAAAAGGCATTTTAGGTGGTGGAAGTATTCATAGCACAAGGTTCCACATTTCCAAACCCAAACAATCACAGTCAAACAAACAGGTATTTCCTTTCTGCTATTCTGCATTACTCAATATCTCAAGAGCACAAGAGCGAAGGAGGTATAAATGTCAGTATTTCCCAGCCAGACTGCTAAGAAACACTACTTACTGGGCATTATTCATATTTTTGGTAGTGGCTCTCTTTGCTTTCAATTTTTCTTTGTTTTTCTTTCATTTTCTTTTCATTTCTTAAGAGAGCCACCACTTCTGCATATATTTCAAACATCTGCCCAACTTTTAAGCACTACCTCCAACACTCACATTCAATTTAGCAGAAACAGCAGAGAATATGCAAAAACCACTCTGTGGAACCTTCTAAAAGATGTAAACAGGGGTGATTTTTTCCATTATAGACCAAAAAGAAAGGATAACACACGGCTCAAAGGGGCTGACTAGGGGATATGACACATCAGGACAGTCAAATTTGGTCGTGGGCTAATCCTATGCCCCCATCATCCTAGCTAGTGACAACGTGAATGCTACACATCATGGAAGAGGGATCTATCGCACAAGAAAGAAACGAGCAGGCTCAAATCTCACATGGCTACCTATATGCTCTATCTCACATTCTGATACCCTGAACTAGATGCATAAGAGACTGTCAAGAACAAGTAATCAATTCAAGTCACAGTTGGTAAGCAAACAGTTGGAAAACTGAACCCCTACACAACTCTACTGCACATCTTAGTCCTCATCATAGGTTGTCCTAGTCACAATCAAGCTGTCATGCATCAATCCGAAAACCATTCAATTCATCACTCAAAACACAGTGCCAATATGATCAAACAGCAGTACTTGGAGCCCTCAAATCTCGAGATTTGGACAGTGGACTAGGCTCCAAGCACACAAACAGCCAAACATTCACCCGCATACATAATCGAACACCCGGCGCCAAAAACTTGATGCTCTAAAACACAACACCTAACAATGGCCAAGTGTAACCAATGAAAGGGACTGCAGTATAGTGGTACAAGTAATAAATATCGAATCCACGGGTCTCTAGAGTTACTATTACTCAGCTTCAGTTCATTATCTAGCAAACTAGATTAAGGATTGATTAACTAAACTACTCTACTAACTAAACTAAGTAAAACTACTAATTACAGTTTGGGAACTCACTTAGGTATGATTCCCCCTAGCTCCTCAATTAGGTCCAAGTTGTAATTCATTTTGGTTGATTTACTGTTGATTAAACTGCGGAAGATCCGACAGTAGCTTGGAATCTCTTAAGCTGACCAAGCCCTCTCAGTCTAACTATCCGGCAGACGACTAGTCTTCACCGGGATAAAAAGCTGAAGCAATAAGCACAGAACTCCACTACTGGAATTGGATTCCAGTACAAAGCAGTAAACTGGCTAACTCTTGTATAGCCAATCTCCTACTACCGAATGATGAGACTCTAGCAACCTAATCAGATTCTATCTATCTCAGATTGCAGCAGGAATCAGGAAAAGTTGATCAGACTTCAATTGACTCAATAAACATGCATCATTCGATTATAATCAAACAATATAGCATCCAAAACTTCATACAAGAAAGATCCTAACTCATGGAACTAAGGTTCCTCAAAACCTAAGTGAAGGGAAGTTACTCCATAGAGAAGAGAGAGACTGCAGAAATCTGATCTAGATCTTCAATCTCCATCTCCAAGCTTGATTCCCGAGCTCCAATGGCGAAGAAATCCTCCAAAATAGCTCCAAGAATGTTCCCAAGTCGCTCTCTCTCTCTAGGGTTCGTCCCTTGGGTGTTTGGGATCCAAAACCCAGCTCTCCTCTTCTTTGGTTCAGAATTTGGCTTAAAACCAGGAAATCCCGACTCGCACGGCCAGGGTGCACGGCCGTGCATATCACCATTCTGGCCGTGCAACTCAAAACGCAGCGTGTCATTTAGTCGAACTTCAGCCCTCTCGCACGGCCAGGGTGCACGACCGTGCGAGCTTCAGCGGTTGCCCGTGCGTGTCCTCGGCATAAGGCGCACGGCCATATTGCTCACGTGCACGGCCGTGCAGCCTCCCTGGTCTGCCCGTGCAGCTCCCCAAAAACCTCGCCATTCGTCCGTTCTTCGTCCAATCGACCCCAGACTCGCTCCTAAGCCTTCATTCACGTACTAGGACCTGAAACATCACAAACAAGCACAACCTAGCGTGAAATCGGCCTAAAACACGAGAATCAACACCTCAAACGGTGTAAGAATGGGGGTAAAAACATGTGTAAATGACGGTCTATCAAACTCCCCCACACTTAACCGTTTGCTTGTCCCCAAGCAAACCAAGTCAGACACTAGGCAAGCTTACACATTTCAATCAACCAACATTGGGGACAAGTCATAAAGGCACAGAACACGTGAATCGCACTGGTTTTCAAACATCAATACATGCACAACCTCAATAACAACCTGGACAACCACCACAAAGGACATTCGAGTGCAGCAAATCGAGTAAAGGAAGAGTCTCCCTTCTGTTCACTGGCCAACCTAGACTTGATTCAACCACTTACTCAAAACAGTCAACTCATGCATCCAACTCAAGACATCAGAATAGAGACCGAGCAATCTAGGTCCTCACCGGGGTACAAGAGCATATAGAAAATGAAAATGAATCACTCACTCTCGACCAGTGGGGTCAGGACAATTTGATGCGAAAGATGCGCATGCTATTTCTCTCAATCCCTATCATCTCTTCACCATGATGGCAGCCTCTAAATGCTAGAGTTCACATATGGGCTGTCACCACTAACTAATCAGGAGGTCTTAGACACAGGTTCAAATGACTGGCTAGGGTCTTGGACATGGGGAAAAGGCATTTTAGGTGGTGGAAGTATTCATAGCACAAGGTTCCACATTTCCAAACCCAAACAATCACAGTCAAACAAACAGGTATTTCCTTTCTGCTATTCTGCATTACTCAATATCTCAAGAGCACAAGAGCGAAGGAGGTATAAATGTCAGTATTTCCCAGCCAGACTGCTAAGAAACACTACTTACTGGGCATTATTCAGATTTTTGGTAGTGGCTCTCTTTGCTTTCAATTTTTCTTTGTTTTTCTTTCATTTTCTTTTCATTTCTTAAGAGAGCCACCACTTCTGCATATATTTCAAACATCTGCCCAACTTTTAAGCACTACCTCCAACACTCACATTCAATTTAGCAGAAACAGCAGAGAATATGCAAAAACCACTCTGTGGAACCTTCTAAAAGATGTAAACAGGGGTGATTTTTTCCATTATAGACCAAAAAGAAAGGATAACACACGGCTCAAAGGGGCTGACTCGGGGATATGACACATCAGGACAGTCAAATTTGGTCATGGGCTAATCCTATGCCCCCATCATCCTAGCTAGTGACAACGTGAATGCTACACATCATGGAAGAGGGATCTATCGCACAAGAAAGAAACGAGCAGGCTCAAATCTCACATGGCTACCTATATGCTCTATCTCACATTCTGATACCCTGAACTAGATGCATAAGAGACTGTCAAGAACAAGTAATCAATTCAAGTCACAGTTGGTAAGCAAACAGTTGGAAAACTGAACCCCTACACAACTCTACTGCACATCTTAGTCCTCATCATAGGTTGTCCTAGTCACAATCAAGCTGTCATGCATCAATCCGAAAACCATTCAATTCATCACTCAAAACACAGTGCCAATATGATCAAACAGCAGTACTTGGAGCCCTCAAATCTCGAGATTTGGACAGTGGACTAGGCTCCAAGCACACAAACAGCCAAACATTCACCCGCATACATAATCGAACACCCCCCCACACTTAAGCACGACATTGTCCTCAATGGAGGAAAGATAAGGAGGGTTGAACGAAGTTACCAGATCAAGGGTGAATGATGATGTACGGGTCAGGCAGTGCAGTCCAGGAAGAGAGAGTAATCAGAACACAAACACCACACAAAATCTCACAAAGGTTGAGTTATTGACTCTAAAATCAAATAACAAAACTGGCTCAACCGAGGAGAAATAGAGAAAGAAATGCAAACCGACTGGTTGGGTTGCCTCCCAACAAGCGCTTCTTTCACGTCGTGAGCCGGACGATGGCTCCTAAGTTTCGGTCCATGCTAGAACCTCCTTGAAGTTGACGTTCTCGTCGATGAGGTGGAGTCTCAAGTCACGAGCATGTGGTGTGGCAGGTGATGAAGGCTCATGTACTTGATGCAGATGAAGTCTCCACCCTCGAGACCTCTTCTTCTCTTCTCTCGTCTCATTGCCCCAAACCAGATATGACAGCATCGATTGGCCACCATCGCGTCCACCAAGAGGGACCGATGTCGATGTGGCCTTGGTCTGGCAAAGAGACACTGCAAATGGGTCCTTGCCAAGCAGTTCCTCAAAGTTTGGTGGGGATATTACTTGCAACTCATGGCCGGTGCATGCCTCTTCCACCTCAACTTCATCCTCAGCCTGGACGCCAATTGCTTCCTCAACCCCCCTTCCTTCTTCAAAATGTGGTCTCTCCCCTGGGAAAAGATCAAGAACCACCTCTTCTTTTCTTTCTTCCTCATCATCCACAACTTTCTTCCTCATCCTTGCTCGCTCTTCTTCTTCTAGAACATATTGGAGAGCAAGTCGCCAAGCAATTTCTTCAATGGGATCATCTTGCATCTCCTCGCACGGGCCCAACATGTTAGAGCATAAATGAGGAAAGGTGTGGTCTGCAACCAAAGGACTTTCCTGATCATTGTTATCATGGGAGTTCTCTGTGATAACTTCTGTATGCTCCTCAACGCTCCCATAGCCTTTGTCATCCTCCACCTCTTCTAGCGTGGTAGCAGAAAGGTGATCTTGAGCAAGATGTGAGCAAACTTGCTTCACCCACTCTGTTTGCTTCGATGAGCGCTGAACAGTCTCCTCCATATCATGGAGAAATGAGGGATCGGAAGTGGCAAGGGCTTTGATTTGAAGATCCATCTTGGAGCATGATCTCTCAGTGTCTCGAGCAAACTGCTCCACGAGAAGCCTTAATTGTTTGTTCGGATCTTCTAGTGAAGTGTAGCATGGCTCTGCATAGTGGCCCGTGAAGGCCGCCATGGGTAACTCCAGCTCCGACGGCCCTTCTGGTTGTGGGAGAAAGTCTTCTTGGTAATGAGGTTGTTCTTGATATGCCCAGGGGTCTGGTTGTTCTCCGTAGAAAGGGGGTTGGTACTGGAACCCGAATCCATAGTCTTCTCCTCCTTGATTGCTGTAGGGAGCCGCGGGGTAATACCACCCGGATGGTGGTGGATACCCCCAATGATTGGAGAAGCCATTAGGATCCATGATTCAGATCTGCACCACAAAACCAAAACACCCAAGTGAAAAGCAAGGGTGGAAAAGAAAAGAAAATAAAAACGCTAAAGTAACAAACTTCTGCCTTTCCTAATACTCTAGAAAGTCCCCGGCAACGGCGCCAAAAACTTGACTCGCTAAAACACAACACCTAACAATGGCCAAGTGTAACCAATGAAAGGGACTGCAGTATAGTGGTACAAGTAATAAATATCGAATCCACGGGTCTCTAGAGTTACTATTACTCAGCTTCAGTTCATTATCTAGCAAACTAGATTAAGGATTGATTAACTAAACTACTCTACTAACTAAACTAAGTAAAACTATTAATTACAGTTTGGGAACTCACTTAGGTATGATTCCCCATAGCTCCTCAATTAGGTCCAAGTTGTAATTCATTTTGGTTGATTTACTGTTGATTAAACTGCGGAAGATCCGACAGTAGCTTGGAATCTCTTAAGCTGACCAAGCCCTCTCAGTCTAACTATCCGGCAGACGACTAGTCTTCACCGGGATAAAAAGCTGAAGCAATAAGCACAGAACTCCACTACTGGAATTGGATTCCAGTACAAAGCAGTAAACTGGCTAACTCTCGTATAGCCAATCTCCTACTACCGAATGATGAGACTCTAGCAACCTAATCAGATTCTATCTATCTCAGATTGCAGCAGGAATCAGGAAAAGTTGATCAGACTTCAATTGACTCAATAAACATGCATCATTCGATTATAATCAAACAATATAGCATCCAAAACTTCATACAAGAAAGATCCTAACTCATGGAACTAAGGTTCCTCAAAACCTAAGTGAAGGGAAGTTACTCCATAGAGAAGAGAGAGACTGCAGAAATCTGATCTAGATCTTCAATCTCCATCTCCAAGCTTGATTCCCGAGCTCCAATGGCGAAGAAATCCTCCAAAATAGCTCCAAGAATGTTCCCAAGTCGCTCTCTCTCTCTAGGGTTCGTCCCTTGGGTGTTTGGGATCCAAAACCCAGCTCTCCTCTTCTTTGGTTCGGAATTTGGCTTAAAACCAGGAAATCCCGACTCGCACGGCCAGGGTGCACGGCCGTGCATATCACCATTCTGGCCGTGCAACTCAAAACGCAGCATGTCATTTAGTCGAACTTCAGCCCTCTCGCACGGCCAGGGTGCACGGCCGTGCGAGCTTCAGGGGTTGCCCGTGCGTGTCCTCGGCATAAGGCGCACGGCCATATTGCTCACGTGCACGGCCGTGCAGCCTCCCTGGTCTGCCCGTGCAGCTCCCCAAAAACCTCGCCATTCGTCCGTTCTTCGTCCAATCGACCCCAGACTCGCTCCTAAGCCTTCATTCACGTACTAGGACCTGAAACATCACAAACAAGCACAACCTAGCGTGAAATCGGCCTAAAACACGAGAATCAACACCTCAAACGGTGTAAGAATGGGGGTAAAAACATGTGTAAATGACGGTCTATCATTGTGTGTAAACAAAAACTAGAGCGAACTAAGAAAGGAAAATATATTATTGAAATAAAAATTTGTTCTTGAAATACAAAGCAAATTATCACCTACTACAACTTTAATTGAATTACAAAGGATCGATTTCAAGCAACAACAATGACTAATTATTTTCATGCAAGTTCCAAATATGCTCAACCAAGTCTTAACGAAGCCCATGATGTGTTGGTGCAGCACGAAGCCTATTATTTCTAGCCAAGTACTCAGTTAGGGTTGGAATATCTCTATTGACATTAGTTGGTTGTTGGTCATGGACCTCATAATCAAGACTATCTTCCATTTCATCGTCAGAATCAACCTGCTCATCTTCGATTATCATGTTGTGCAATATAATGCATGTCAACATTATATCATTTATTGTGGAAACATCCCAAGATCTCGCAGGGCCACGAACGATTGCCCATCCAGCTTGAAGAATTCCAAAGGCCCGCTCTACGTCTTTACGATGTGCTCCTTGACATCGAGCAAACAAGGCTTCTTTGTTTGAGCTTGGATTGCTAAATGTTTTCACTAAAGTTGACCACGAAGGATAAATACCATCAGCCAAATAATAACATTGATCATAGGTATGACCGTTTACCTCAAATCGTGCTCGTGGAGCGGATCCATTGAGGATACGGTCGAACACTGGAGACATCCCCAAAACATTGATGTCGTTGTTCGACCCAGGTAAGCCGAAAAAAGCATGCCATATCCAGGTGTTGTATGAAGCCACTGCCTCGAGAATGATTGTTGGTTTATGGTTGTGCCCCAAGTACTGCCCAGCCCAAGAAGTAGGACAGTTCCTCCACTCCCAGTGCATGCAATCAATTGACCCAATCATACCAGGGAATCCGCGTTGTGAGCCTTTACGAAGTAGGATCCTTAAATCAGCCCGAGTTGGTGCACGAAGGTATGTTGACGAGTACATCCCGACAATGGCTCTGCAAAACTTCCTGAAGACTTCCAGTACAGTGCTCCGACCCATACGCATGTAGTCATCAAGTTGATCAGCTGGAGAGCCATAAGCTAGCATGCGTAATGCACTAGTAAGCTTTTGCTCTGGCGATAGGCCTAAGTGACCAACAGCATCACTCCTTCGTTCAAAGGAGGGATCGTACCTCACAACGTCACCCATTATGCGACTAAATAGTCGTGGTTGCATACGAAAACGCCTTCTGAATATGCGAGCATCGTATGTTGGATTTGGATTGAAGTAATCCTGCATAAGACGGTCATGACCTGAAACCCTTTCACGATCAATATAAGTGCGACTGTTGAACGACGACGTGAGGATGAAGCTTCATCAAGCCTCCTTCCGATTAAAGCTAAACGGTCATAGTGAAACATATTCAACTCTTCCATCTCTTCTTCTACTCCAGACGATGAGAAGTCTGAGGAACTCATGATGAATGTGTTTGTTTTAGAAATTGGGAGAAGTTGATGAATGTGTTTGCTTCAGAAATGGGAGGAAGTTTAGGCCAAGTATTGAATTAATGACAAATGAGAGATAGCACATTTTATAGACAAACATATTCACAGGTGGCTTACCTAAATATTCCTACCTAACGGTCATATCTAACATGTGCTACCTAACAGTCTCACCTAACGGTAATATCTAACATGTGCTACCTACCACTCGTATCTAACATGTGCTACCTACCACTATCTAACATCTGCTACCTAACAGTCTCACCTAACGGTAATATCTAACATGTGCTACCTACCACTCGTATATAACATGTGCTATCTAACATCTGCTACCTAACAGTCTCACCTAACGGTCATATCTAACGGTCTTTCAATTTTCTATATATTCAGACATCCTCTCTTCTTTCTCTACAATTCATTATTACTTTTGAAATTTTCTTCCAGTCTCACCATCCTTTCTATCATCTTTATCTCTCTAAAGACCAAACAATGACAAGCAAGAGAGGAGAGGGTTGGAAAGTGGAGGAAGATGTGAACTTGTGCAATTCTTGGGTTATGATATCAGAAGATGGAGCTGTGGGCGCTAATCAAAGACTCTCAAAGCTTTGGGATAGAGTGGCGACGCAATTTCAAGTGAATGATCCCACTACAACTCGTACTATCAAAAGCATGAGTAATCGAATGAGCCTCATCACCAAATTCTGCAAATGTTTGAATTCAGCTATCCAAAGGGCAGAGAGGAATCAATCAAGTGGCACGAATCAACAAGATGTGGTATGAATTCTCTGTCACCATCACTGTTATTTTCTAACTCATTTATTAGTATGAATTCTACTTTCTAACTCCTTTTTCATCTCATTCATTAATACGTATAGGAGTATATGGCAGAACAGCTTTATAAAAGTGAGACAGGAGAAAAGGGTTGGAATTTTAGTCATTGTTGGCGGATTTTGAAAAAATGTCAAAAATTTCATGCCCTGTTAACAATGTCGTCTTCACATCAAAGCCGCATAAGTCAAGGTTCTGATGGTTCTCCCATGTGTCGTGGTTATCAATCAACCCCACCGACAGACCTCAATGACACAGAAGGAGACGAAGAAACTCCACCCTTCGTAGGAGAAACTCCACCCTTCGTCGAAGAAACTCCACCCTTCGTCATATCTCGTCCTGCTGGACGCGACAAACAAAAGGCGGCTAAGAAGAAAGGAAAGGGGGTTGCTGAGCCATCAGAGAGCTACACTGCTCAATTGTTGGACTATGGAAGTGAGTTGAAGGAGAGGCATGCTTCGAGGGCTGAGTATGAGCGAAAAAGGATGGAATTCCAAGAAAAAAAATCGAAGCGCGACGAAGAAAGGTGGAATCTTGAGAAAAGGGAGAGGGAACAAAAGTGGGAAGTTGAAAAAAGAGAGAGGGAAGCGGCACTATTTCGGAACAACGTTGATCTTCTTGAAAGTGATTTGTCGAAGTTGACACCAAGAAAGAGGCAGTATTACAAAACTCAGCAAAACATTGTTCTAGGGTATGATCAAGATGATCCCAACTCTGTTCCCAACTACTCATCTAACGCAAATCAGACCGGGGGAGGAGATGAGAGTGGAGGAGATGAGAGTGGAGGAGGAGGTTATGGGAATTACTATTCTCTGCTAGGCGATTATTGACATGTTATGTGTTTCATCTTTATCATTTCAAGTGTTGTGTGTTATCTTTAACCTTTATCATTATCAAGTGTTGTGTGTAACCAATCAGTTGTATCATTTGAACTATTATGTGAACTCTTTCAACTTTATCATTTTCAAGTGTTGTGTGTAAACTCTAATTAGGTCAATCATTTTTTGCAAAAAAAAAAATTTGGTCTCGGAATTTAAAAAAATTCTATCGAAAAAATTGTATTTGAAAATGATGACGAACTACACAAATATTATTATGAACAAATTATATTAATGCTTCCATAAATACATTTTTAAGTAAATGAAAAACTGAAAAAAGGAAGATCCCCATATTTGGAGAATGTAGCATTGGAACAAAAGAGAAGAAAATAGGGATGATCCCCAAATTTGGGGATGAAGTTCCCCAAATTTGGGGACTAGCATTGGACTCAGCCTTATGGTATTTCAAGTTGAATAGTAATTTTACATGGGACCTCCAATAAGATTATCTAAATCTACAAAAATATATAATAGGCTTTCCGAAAAAGGCTTTAGGGATTCAAATTCTCTCCCTCCTCACGCATCCACATCATCACATGTTTCCCTCCAATCATTTAAAAGCACGTCACCCTATTTTTCCTTAAATAGGCTTCATCCTTACTCTTCCGCGTTAAAACCCAGGCCCCTACTCCCTTTCCCCCCTTTACTCAACCCAACAGTTTATTTCTCGATTTCTCGCCAAATCTCCAGTGTTTGATACCCATGTCCGCCTTTTGTCTCCTACTCACCTCTCTTTCCTCTCCAGATTTCCACTCTTCTTCTCCAAATGTAGGTTCACAATTTCCTTTCCATTTCTCGGACCGCAGAAGATTTCACATCTTCTCCCCTTTTCCTCCGTCAATTGGTTTCTGTGAATGTGCCTAAAATCCATTTTTCCGTCACGGAGCCGCCTTGACCTTCTTCATATTGTACACCCTATCGCCCCCTATATAGAAACCCTTCATTCCTCCACGCCACCATTCAGAAGATCCCAGAATCCTCCATAGGCGGCCATCTTCTGCATACCATCAACGCCGCAATCGTCCCCCTTTCGCTTCTTTGTATTTTCGCAGGTAATTTTAATATTTTGGGTGTCTTTTTCCCTTAGCATTTCTCTTTCATAAGTGATCTTTTTCGGCTCTGAATTTTGGGTTTTGGGTTCTGATTTGATGAGAGGTAGGAAGAAGTGCGTTTGATGAGAGTTAGGTAGAATGTAGTTCCAATTACTGCTGCAGTATTCAGAATTTACGTAATTTGTGTGATTTTCTTAACCCTGTGCAGGATGTTTCCAGGCATTTTATTTTGGCTTAAGGGCTCTGTTTTGCCGAGGGGGAGAAAGAATGATGTTTCAGGACTTTGTTTTTCTTTGGTAGTTTCAATTGGTTAATGTTTGATTCTAGGGTTGAGAATTTGTGTTATTTATCTCATCACTTGGAAGTTCAGGGTTCCTTTTGGTCTTTTGTTGCTTTTCTTATTCGGCTTTACTGTTGCTTGATATTCGTTGCTAACACAAGATATGAACACTGCTACATTTCACATACCCAAAATATAACCACTTCCCACAAGTACCTTATTCGCCTTTAGAGGACTTCCCCCTCTTACAAAACTGCAGTTATACATGACTTCTCCCATCATAAGATTAGTGTGATCGTAGGCTTTGTTGATATGAATTTACCATGGCTTGCTGAAAATGCTAACTTTCAATTGTATGTGTGACTTTGTAGTGATTTTGCAAAAGGAAAGAGAGTGACGGTGTCTAATGACCCTTCACAGTCAAAACCCCAAAAAGTCGCCAAGGTTTCTCAGGATCATAGTAAGTTCTTGATTATAAATTAAATGAGTGTCAACATGTATTGTGTATATGTCATAAGCATATCTCTCTTCAACCATCTGAGTTGTCTTTTTATATTGTGAAATGCTGTAACACTGAAAGCACTTCCATTCTCAAGTAATAATAAACTTATTTTTCTATAGCATATTTCTCTCTAATTTCATCCTAGGGTATGAAGTCAAAGTTCGTCAACTATCATACTTAAGTCATTTTGAAAATTTTGATTTATAATCGTCGAACATAACTCCAAGTCTGAAAGAAAATTTCTTAGCATACGACTTAGAACCTCAATAGAGCTTTCTCAATCAACATGATATAGAGCAAATATTATTAATGTGAACTTAGGTCACATTATCAAATTATTGCACATGCGATTCCTCTTCATTTGAAGAATTTAATGTAGAACGTGATCTGAATGAATAAGCTTTTTTTTTAAATAAATAACTGTGACTATTCGATCAAGATTATACTCTGACATTTTGCTAGATAATACTGTTTTATTTTATAGATATATATTGTACGAATAAGAGAGTGTTTCATTGCACAAAATATAAAGTAATATAGTTTATTTTTCAAAGGTAATTGAATGTCAAATATTTATTTTCTCTCTTTTCATATATATTTTGGTTTAATTGATTAAAACATAATTGTTTATGTGTATGTTTGTTTATTTTTTTCATCAAAATGTAACTTATATTTGAATTTTAGTAAAAATGAGTAGAAAATTTATTTCATAAGGTTTAGTCAGATATTTTTATTTAAACGAATGTGATATATGTCACTCTCTTTTTTCTTATTTATATTTTGTTTATTTAATCAATAATTATTATTTATGTGTGTTTGGTTAAGTTTATCAACATGTAACTTATTATTAAAGAAAAAAGAATAATTGGATAAATGAAAAAGAATAATTGGATAAAAGAAATGGAAATATTAAAGAAGAGAGAGGTAGCTCCATAAATACATTAGGATTTTGCTACGGTGACATGCATGTCCCCATGACATGTACTTTTAGGACGACCTAATCCACAAGGCGGTCGACCGAATTGACAAATTCAGTTATGTGAGGTTCAGAGACGCAGTCGACCGTCTACATAAAATGGTCGACCTCTTTGGTAGTATAACAGAATGAAAGGTCGACCCAAATACCTCATAGGCTGACCCTTGTGCACCTATCAGGTCGACCTCATTAGTAAGAGGTCGACCGCATGCACACCGTATCCGTATTGGATAAGGATTCCAACAGCATAAAGGTTCCACAATTGGACAAGAAAACGAATTGGGTCGACCCATTCACGTCCTAAATCTCTATAAATACGAATATAAGTCCCCTTCAACGCCACCAAAAGTCCGAATTAGGTTTTTTTCGATTTAGAGCCTTTGTGAAGAAGATTGTTCGCGGTTGCTGTTATACGTGTCGAAAGTGGTTGACCACGTCTAAGGTGAGGTCAACCTAATGTAGCATTCGTCGTCATCTTCTCTAATGCGTGATTTCCACCATCTAATTTGATATATTGTTGCATGCAGAATAACATTCGGTCAACCTTGACCTCAACCAGGTCGACCTGACGAGACAATTCTTCGGAATTGAATTTAGGGCACAACACTTGGACTTCCGTATTTGCGAGGTAACGTCGATCAACCCAATAGGTCGACCTAATGTGTTTCAAGGTCGACCGTTTCTGTTTGTTTTGGTTGTTCAACGTGAATGTCGACTTTGGTTTTGTTTGTAAGACTATGTTGTGCTTCAAAAGGTCGGTCGCTCAAGCTATCTGGTCGGCCTATCCGTTTTTCGGTTTAATATTGCACTTGCTTTTGTTGGTTAATTGTTCTTTTTCTGCTGGATAGGTCGACCTAGGAAGATCAGAGGTCGACCTTAAAGGTTGTGGTAGTCACAATTTCTCTTTCAGGTCGACCTAATAATTTTACTGGTCGACCGCATCTCTGTTTTTTGGTCAATTGTAGCAATTTGAAGTTGAATTATGATTTGAATTTTTATTTAAATTGTTTAGACGATGACCCATGGTGAGAGACTGCATCAAGATTTGGGTGAAATCATGAAAGTGTTGAAAGCCACACAAGAGCAGCTGGTGGCGTGTCAAAAACAAGTCAATAAGTTTCAGAAGTCCATTCATGATAAATTGGAGCAATTATCAGTTCGATTGAAAGATATGACTTGGATGATGCATGATAGCTTTGAGAGGCTAGAAGGTGTTATCAAAGATATAAGTGCAGAATGAATGTAGAATGGAGGAAGAGATGGTACAAGAAAGAAATTTGACTTTGATAAAGAGGAGGAAGACCATGATGACTCTGCAAATTGCTACCAGAGCATAGACGATTTATTGAAACAGTACAATTTAAAGGTAGACAAGCATATTCATATGCGATTGAAGATATTAGTAGTATTATCATTAGTGCTGATTTGTTATGTTTATATGTTTGACAGAGTGAAACAACGAATGGCAGCAAGGGTTCCTCTCCTAAGTACAAGAGACCTCGATATGAAAGTGACTCCTACACCACTCCACAGAAGGATCATTTTGTAAGAAAAGGATTATTTAGTGTTGATAGCGATGAAGATGAATCTAAGAGTCCTTTTGAAAAGCACGGAGTAAGTTTACGTTACATATTCATCTATAATGTGTGTTTGTGTTCATATGTGACTTTAATTTTAACTATGATTTGTAGGTCATGAAAGTTGAGGGCCTAGAAGGATTCACCAAAAATCTTCAAAATCCAGTGAAGACTTGTATTATATTGTTACTAAAGAGAAGGCTGGGGATGCGAATTGGGACAAGTAAGAATTTTTTTTTAGTACGTGTGGTCGACCGTTTAGTTAATGAGGTCGACCGTTTATCCAATAAGGTCGACCTGTACGTTGCAAATCACAATTGACATTTCTGTTATTTTGATTTTTGCAGTTTGACCATTGTTGACTTTTTTTCTGAAAGCGTGCAACGAAATTATTTGAGTTCGGTCATTAGCGAGAGTAGCTGGGTTTGCTCATCCGTAAGTACTATACTACTACTTCTTTCGTATAAATTGTGTACTATTTATGTTACGATTTACGAGGATTTTGTGTTTGATTGTTGGATGGTAGGTGGTGGATTTGTGTGCAAGGCCACTAAAAATGTCTGAAAACATGATGTGAAAGAGCCAAATGTGTGGTATTTGCCAAATATGTTTTCGGTAAGAGCCGTAATGTTAAATTATTTTTCATAACCTAGTTATTTATATTGTACCATGTCAATTCATCTCAATTAAAACATGGTGCAGAAAATGGTACGCGCTAACATGAAGACCAGACAAATTCGTAACAAGTTGATGAATGATGGCGTGGTGTATATGTCGAATGTCAGTGCATGCCAGAAGGTTATTCAATGTCCCTATCTCATTAAATTTCGAAAGTGCATTTGTTTGTATTCGCTTTTTTAACATATAGTGAGTGTTTC